CGAACTCTGTGGTCTCGTATCAACCAGGCTGCCGCTGCCATCTATTGCAACTACATCAACAAGAGGAGTCATCACCTCTCGAACATGCGTATCCTTTATCTCTAACACATTTTCAATCATATCCTGCAACATGTATCATTTGAATTATCACAAGTCTATGGTAAAGAGTCCAAATCCATATATAACAAACTCATACCTGCTCTTCCTCTTCTATAGCTCCACTTAATTCTGCTCCGCGTAGCATTAGTTTCAATTCATCTTCAGTAACATATGGCTCACTGGCACAAATAGAAAAATAGACTATAGGTAAGTTGCATTAACTCTCTTTCAACAAGCACAAATATATATTTTGATTTGGACAGACAACTCTAATTTGATGCATACCTCCGTCCTTTCAAACCAAGAATTTTCAGAATTCCCATCGAAAGATATGTCACTACTCTTCCAACAGGATATAATATCAAGGAAAGCCAAGCCACTGGTCTGACCTAGATGCATAGTAAGTCAACATGAATCAGACTATTTCTTTTATCATGTGAGCATTTGCTGATGATAACTAATTTAAACGTACCACAATCCTTGCAACCTCTTGAGCATTGTGAACCGCTACACTTTTTGGAGTTATTTCAGTCAGGAGTAATATGACTACCTATAATCATTCACGACTCAAAACTACTATCTCTATCTCAGTCAAGAGTAACAAGTAAAATTTATATGTACCGTCATCACTCCTGTGGCTGCACTAACACCAGCTTCACCAAAAATAGCTGTTGCCGCTTTAGTGACCAAGGCAGTCGCCGCAATATTCACAACACTAAATAACAACCAATAATTTTAAGAGACAAGCAAACATTCAAAAAACAACATTCCAATATTCAAGGAAAAAGAAAGCATTACGTTGTTCCAATAAGTATGGTTGTCAAGAATCTGGTAACATCACTACGGAGCATCCTGAAAACGCCATTTTCAGGCTCTTTTTCAGCCAACTCGCGCACCTGATACAAAACACATAACACTACCACATATAAAGAACCATCCAAAAGACAAGACCATGAAAAGTAAAAACAATGCATTTCGGAACAGCTTATCATCATTGGCATTACTAAATCCAGGAGAGGACTTATTTATTACCTTCCACGGCCAGAGAGTGGTGATGGAAGTCTCTGCCATGGAGAAGAATGCTGATAAACCGAGAAGCACAGCTAATATTAGACCTTGCTCTCTAAGAACCTTAAGAACCTGAGAAGTTTTTGGCCAAGCATTCTTCAACAACAATACACTCTTACTAAAAGCCACATCCACCACATTTGTTGATGCTAATACTTTACCACATCCATACAACAAAACTCCACACACCACTGCCCCTAATACGATTCCCCGTTTCAGCAAAATCCTAATCGAATCGAGTTTTTCGCTGGAATCGGAATGTTTCTGACTACTACCCACATGATCTTCAGTCGCACTCAACACAACAAACTGATTTCTATGGCTAAAGTCACATCCCTTTCGGAATCTAATAAAACTGGAACTTGAGAGATTAGTCAAGATACAGAGTGGGCGCTGCTTGTTTCTCTGAAGAAGTCTTAGTGAAAAATTCGAACTTTGGATACATAGTCGCGTGAGACTTGAGTTCCTCCTGGTGGCAATGAAAGAACGACCTAGAACAGATAAATCAAGTTCCATATGAATAGAAATGTCTCCGGCGATAGAGTATACCAATTTCTTCTCCTCTTTATAATTCTTGAGTACTGAGGAGTGTATAACTTAATACGCCAAAAGGAGATTTAGCTATTGATCGAAACACCGATGAAACTGAGAGTTACGAATATCGGAGTTGGGACTCGTGAGAAATGTTTGCAGAGAAGAAGAAAGGCGGCGTCGAGCAGGTGACAGAGAGATAGTGAAAAATGACAATAATACCCTTATGCGCCGTTGAGTCATACCAGACCGGTTCAGCTTTTTTTTTTTTTTTTGTAAACTATTCAATTGGTTTGGTACCCTTAACCCGGTTTCCTTTGGTACATTATCCCAATCCAAAAAGATTGAAAAACCTTGAATTCTTGATACAAATATTATTCTCTGGTGAATCTGTTTTCATCTCTTCCCTTGTCTCTTCTATTCTCAGCTCCTCTCGCTTCTCTGCTTTTCTTTATTCACTAAGCCTCTCTAGCTTCGACATCGCGAGCTACTAATGCCATGGTGAATCTTGAAAATCGATTACGATTCCTATTCAAATAACTCAATTTCTTGCCTTAGACGTTATCGACGGCTTAAGCAAAAGGGGGACGAGAAGCTTTTTCTCAGTGATTCACCTTTGACAAATTCGAATCTCTCTCTTATCTCTCACCGAAAGAGAATTATTCTTGTGTTTGATAAAGAACGAAACAAATAAATTTATGTCGGAAATAATTAGTTACTTGAAACTGGGAAAAGCATCAATGTTCAGTGGCATGTAGAAAAAAAAAAGACAGAAATGACAACAATGATGCTCATAGCAGAGCATTTTTTAATATCTCAGATGACAAATACTTAAGCCTCCTCCGAAGACTGTTTCTTCCTTGACTTCTTACTTGAAGAAACAACTTTTTCCACATTTCTCCTGCTTGTCTTTCTTTGCCCTTCCTTTCTTAGCAACCTTCACAGATGTAGTAGCCTCATCAGCATCTTTTCCACCATTGTCCTTCTCTACACAGATTCAGAAACTCACAAGTTAATAGAAACGTCCCTCAGCCCGTTACATATGATTATAGAAAAGAAAATGAATATGAAACAAAGAACTGAAATTACTGTTTGGAACTGCAGGCGCCATTAATACAACGATATTGGTCACCGGCTTGTCTCCTCTCTGGTTTGGTAAAGATTCCCAAGTTCCATCACCACCATCTTTGTTGAGTCCTTCGTTCTCAACATCGGCAGATTGATTAAAGTCTAATAATTCAGCAGATAAAATATCATTTGCAGCACTTGGAGCTAATCAAGGGCTAACATCTAGAAATGAAAATCAGCAACGTTAGCAGTAATCACAAAATAAAGTTTACCTTGCACTATTGCTCCTAAACAAACATCATCTTTGTGACTCTCGTTCTCATCATCCACAAGTGCAAGATCCTTCTCTTGGTCAACCGTAGCAGCACTTTTTTCTCCCTTTTCAAGGTCTCAATAACAGAATTAAACTAAAACTTTAATTGATCACATAGCCACTTTCAATGACTTAATATAGATTATACAATCAAAGGTAACACAACTAACACTCTCTCCAATAACATCAACAATATATTACATAGACCATAATAGAGAAAGAAAAAAAAAACGAAGGTTACCTTTGCCTATTGTTCCAGTTGGAACCTCTCCTTTACCACTTGACTGGTCACCAAGAGAGCATTTCTTACGACTTTGGTTGGCATGCGCGCTATCTAAAGTTTTATGTTTCCTCTTTCTACTTTTCTTATCACCAGCTTGGGTTACCGGAGCTTCCTTAACCGTCATATCATTGGTCTCTATCTCAAGTAGCTTAGGGCTTGAAAAAGAAGCTTTTCCAGTCAGCATAATACCCTTCTCCTCAACCCTCAAGACATCAACAAATAGAAACGAGTGGTTGTCACTTATGCTTTGGAAAACATTGTTCAAAATCATTAAATCAGCCACGTGATAAAATTGACCACCATATTTAACCTGCAAAACAAAAACCAACCCTTCCTTTATAATTTGTTGTTGCTTAAACAAAAAAAAAAATGCAGTTTGTATGAAGAAAACATTGTTTACCTTCAAAGCAGAGACAGTAATGCTTCCAACACTTGGGAAACACTGTTCATGTTCCTTGCAGATTTTTTCTGTATAACAAACAAACAACAATAAACATGAGTTTAGTTACAAAAAAAAATTACCAAACTAAAAAACGGAAGAGATTAAGACTCACCTCTGAAAGCAGATACACTATCATCACTGTCAAGGAGAAGTCCCAGACGAGTATCAATACTTGTCTTCACGAAGACAACTCGACTTTTGCTGCTTTCTCCTAAAATTGAAACTAAGATTTGGATGAAATGAAAGTGCTCTCTTAGTTTGAGATTTATAGGCGAGAAGAAATATCAAAAGCCATTGAAATCAAAACACTTAATAATGGACTTAGGGAAACAGAATGTCATCATTAGTATGATTCTCTCTCTGCCTCAGTCCTTTCGTCTTCTCTCTTTTCCAATTTCCCAACCTTGCATGACTCCGGGCGACCAAAACCGTATTAATTGCTTGGGGTGAGGTTGTTGTTACATGGCCCATTTAACAGTCCACTTAAGGCCCAACTTACAATCCATGTTATTAACAAATCCATAAGGACTTAATTCATCATCATTAGTTACAAGAAAGAAAGAAAGAAAAAAACATACACTTGTGAATTAAATCACATAATCAGACCATTCGGTTAAATACGATGTTTGGTCCATAGTCAGACAAGGAATCTTCTCATGTTTTCTCGGATTCTCTTTCCCACCAATCAATCTCGCCGGATTTCCAACCGCCGTCGTACGCGGCGGCACATCCTTAACCACCACCGACCCTGATCCAATCTTAGCTCCCTCACCAATTGTTATATTCCCCAATATACAAGTCCCAGCTCCAATCAACACTCCATCACCTATCTTCGGATGCCGATCACCACTCTGTTTCCCTGTTCCTCCCAACGTCACGCCGTGTAGAATCGAAACATTGTCTCCAACCACCGCCGTCTCTCCAATCACCACCCCCGTCGCATGGTCTAAAAGAATCCCTTTTCCGATCTTCGCTCCGGGATGAATATCGACGGCGAAAGCTTCCGATACTCTGTTTTGGATCAATAAAGCTACGATTTTTCTCTTCTGTTTCCAGAGCTTATGAGCTATTCGATGAGCTTGACAAGCGAGGAAGCCTTTGAAACCCAAGAAGCAGTGAACGTAGCTTATACAAGCTGGGTCTCTTTCTTTAACAGCTATAAGATCTTGCTTCGTAGCTTCGATAATCTCAGGGCTTTCTTCTAAAACACTGATGAACAATTCGAAGAGTGTGTTGCTTGGGAGGTTTAAATTGCTGAGCTTTACGGAGAGGATGTGAGCTAAAGCAGAATCTAAAGATCGATGAGATGTGATGGAAGCGTAGTAGTAGTTTGACAAAATGGGTTCTTGTTCTACATCGGATTTGGCTTCTTCAAGGATCTTGATCCAGACATCATCGTCGTCGTCGATTTGTGTGTGGTGGATCTTCCGGTTTAGAGAGAAACCGGGTCGGAAGAAATTCTTGATGCAACAGAACCGGGAATCATCGTCTTGGGTAGTTCCGGTTCGGCATGCGTCGATGCATGTTGCCATGGTTTGGAATTTGAGTAAAGGAAGAGAAGAGAGAATGATTGTTGAGTGAAGAAGATGAACATAGCTTTATATACAAAGAGAGAGATGGCGGCGACCTTTGACTCTGACCCCAAAAAAATCTCAAAGTAATTACATTTTATTCTTCTTTAATATACATTTTTTCTGAAGATTAAGGAGGTAATGAAGGAGGTAACTACATTTTTCTTTACAATTAACAATTTTATCTTGGAAATGATTTTTTTTATGTTTTAAATTTTGTTTGTATCCTACTAGTATTAATTATGAAAATATGTGTTAGTTAATACTATGACAAGACAAACGATGTTTACAATTTTTGTTTTTATTTTTGCATGATTAGTCTGCTTATCTATTACACATCTAAGGCTCATCAGCCATCACATGTTTTTTGTGCCACCAACTTTTGCATAACAGTAACATCAACTACTTAAATTTTTTTTTTTAAAATATATTATCTAGCTATTTTGTATAGATATGAAATATAAATTTTATTTTGTTGGGTTGTATCTAGGGAATCCCAAAAACCCAACATGGAGAAGTAGAAGTAGAAGGAACTTCTAATAAAATGGTTATAATTTCCTAACTAATGGGGAAAAAAAATCAAGAAAATTGGATCATTTTGTAAATGATTAAAGTTGCCAAAATGAGGTTACAAAGAAAGGTGACGTTTGTAATGACATAAGTCTAAAGTTACGTGAAGCCGTCGCCCTTTGACTGTGAAGGCTCCCTATCTTCAAGGTTGTCTTAATCTAATCATATTTTCACTCTCTAATAATCTAATGTTAATACATGATTAATTTGATTTAACTTGGAACTTTTTTCCACAATAATAATTTTATAACTACGTGTTATTGACTGTTTGTTAGTCATACTCTACCCACTCCATTTGTATACATCTTTTCTTTTAGCGTAAGAATTAGGAAAGCTACATTTATGGTTGAAGATATCTCTATTCACTAGTACTCAATAATGAAATTTGTAGTACTTTTTTATGATAATCAAATTATCCAATTGGACAACGTAGATTACGTGACATGGTCATTTGCCTCTATTCTACTTTGTCCTTTGTGCACACTTCTATGTTGATGGATGGATTCAAATAAATAAAATTATCCGTTATTCTTACTGCAAATAAGTTATCTAGTTGGAATTTTGGGTGTTTGACATCCGAAAACAACAACAACAAATCAAAAAGAATAATATATATATTTTTAAAATGGCAGTAAAATAGTGGTGTCCATTGTTTGAGGACCAACCTTTCCTTTTCATTGTCCCATAATAGGGTTTTCTTTTCAATTTTCAACCAGTAGTCAAGTAGATTTGGCTCTTCAAGATCATGAAAACACAAAATCCTTATGTTATACTATTCAGTTATAGAATTTGATTTGGTTCACAAAGAATATATCAAATTGGCCCAACAAAAATTCTGTTGTCATTTACAAATAATAAAATTGGAAGAGGAGACCAATAGTCTGGAACTTTAGTAGTACATGAGGAGCTAAGATTGAGCCTGAGGCTTAATGGCGTCAACTATCTGCTTGCATGAGTCCCCTATTAGAGGCACCCGATATGATCGTCAGCTTTTGATTTGGTGACTGAATCTATATTGAACCTTAAACTTAAAACACAGTTTCCGATGTGGCGATTCCGCAATTACAGATTGAGTATAAGAGATTTATCAAACCAAAGCAAAGGCGAATATACAAAGAGTTAGTCAAAAGATCTTGACAACCATCCCATTTAATGCACACTATGACCAGAAACAAAACATGCATATATACTTCAGAATGAAGGTACTATCTACTTCAGAGTTAGTCTTTAGAGAAACTCATATTCATCAACATTCTATTGCTGCAACACTCTAACACAGACACACACACAGTGTACGTAAATGATTGTTCACAAGAGCAGCCAAAAACCTCAAATATAGGCCTAACTGGGAAGTTCAGACAGCTTGATCTAACACCAAGGATAGAAGAAAAACACATTTCTATCAGGTAAGCTAAAGATTCCGCAAAGCAGGTTTAACAAAAAGTATATCATTTTCGAAATCAAACAAACAGGCTCTGAGAATGGTTAAAAAGAAGAGCGTACCTCGGAAGTCTCAGAGACGAGTTTCTCAATTAACTTCAGGCAATGGTTCTAAGGTCTCAGGACTTGGTAGATAGAAACGAGTGTTTACAGGACCAGAAACTGAAACCGCCATAGATAGAAGATGGAAGCAACGAGAACAAAGAGACCCTCTGTGTAGAACAAGAAGCCCACAACGTCAGAATTACAAACCACCATCAAAATACCAACGAAGAATCTTTTTCATCCAGCTTCCTCAAAAATCGTTATTCAAAGGACAAAAAAGCTTTTCTGTATCTTCTCATCATTGCATTTACTCATCTAATTTTGTTTGAGAGTTTGCAAAATCTAAATACTCTTTTCACCTAATAAAGTTAAAAAGCCTTCTACTCTACATAACATAACGCAGCCACAAGCCTTAGTCTGGACTCAGTTCACAGATTTTGGAGAATCTTGTTCATTGGCTACCAAAAATGGCTGACTCTTAGTCCTTACTTATACCCTCAAGTGCCGACATTAGGAGCACCAGTCGACAATGGTGCTCCATACGAGTATCTCCACTGACCACACGCCTCACATTTCTCTAACTTCACCTCGTTTTCAAGCGTGCAGAATTTGCAAGACCAGACTTTGTGCTTCATCTCCTTTTCCTTTGGCTTTGTGGCAGTGCATAGCTCACATATTGGAGCCAATGACTGGTGCGAGAAAACAAGACAGATAATGAAAAACGTTATAACGATAACAAGAAGCTTCCAGTTTAAACACTCTCTAAGGAAGACTTACGGGGTTCAATAAGGTGCATTCTGCACACTCCCACATTGTGGATTCTTCTCTGCTTTGGTTTGCATTGTAACTCGTCGATGGCAAAGTAATCGATGACTTCGTGAAACCAGAGTTCGGTACATCTTTGGCACAAGAAGGACCCTGATCACCTGGGCTACAGTTTCTTTTAGCACATCTTGGTTCAAAAGATTCCTCAGTCAAATCAATGACGTCTGATCCCCCTTGAAGACTGGAAGATGGAGGGCAAGAATTGGCATTGGACAAGCTATTACATCTTTTTACAGACTTAGCATTCATGCTCATACAAGTTTCCCTGATGGAAACGGGTTCCTTACATGTGTCACTATCACTCTCTTCGTCTTCTAAAGCCTCTGTGGATTGGGAACCACACCAAATATCATCAAGTAAACGCCTTTCTGCAGCCATTGCAGCAGCCTGAATTGGACTAAGATCTGACATAATGCTGCTATCACCACCAAGACGATGAGGTCCTGAAGGTAAAAGAGTTCCCGCACACACTCTTTTTTCTGCTGCTGTAGCTGCAGTTGCTCGGAGAGATGATAGAGGAGGCTGACGAGAAAGTCCACCCAAACGCTTCCCAGGAATATCAAACCCCTGTCCTGTCCCTGTTATACCCTTTGACATCAACTCCTCGCATTCCTAAACGTAATAGAATTAGTTAAACACAAATGAAGCACTGGTGATGTAACAGGAAAAGTAGCCAAAATTTCAAATCATTTTTCTGCAATAACCAACACAATGATATCCCCTAGATAAGAAACATTTGTAACTGATTCATCACAATAATCCATGATGGTAAGAGAATTCAAGTAAGAGGAACACTGAACTATACTACTAGTTATACCAATACGGATCACATTTCTTTAAGTTCAAAATATACGTTAACTTTCTAAACATTAGCATCAATGATGCAGGTAGTCAAATAAGCATCAAAATCGAGCTACCTTTCGAAGTTCATCCCAAAGCTTATAGAAATTTGCATTGTGAGGACCATGCGCATTGTGGCAAAGCTCGTGGAGCATGGTGTCGAGAATTTCATGATACGATAAGAATTCTCCATCATGGTTTACCCTTCGAAGCCTCAATTTCACTTGCACGCCTCTATTTACATTCACCCCTAAAAGCATTGGATTTTTTGGGCTGCAATTTCGAAATCAAGAACAAACATCATGAACCCTAAAAAATCAATACTTTCAATCATTCTTCCACAACCACTTATCGATTTAAAGCTTTATCCAAATAATCTGGACCAAAGGAAACAATAAATTGCAGAGAAAAAGAGAGAAGCTTTTTAATGATAATACATAGACGAATTGACAAAAACCCATTAAATTACCAGAATTCAGAGAGAAGCTTGACACGCCATTTTCGTCTAGTCATAATCGGCTGAACCTGATTAGCTACCTTCTCCAGAATCTTCCTCGCTTCATCTGCTCTAGGTTTCTTCTTCAAAGCCTTTATTTCCCAGACCTTGTTCAAATCTCCCAAATTCATCACAATTTCACAGATGCCCACCTTCAAAAATCTCAAATTCGATTCAAAAACCCAAACAATTCTGACCTTCCCGATCTTCGATGCAACAAAAATGGGATTTTGAAAATGTGAAACATTTTGGTCTTCCAGAGAGAGAGTGGCGGGACAAGACAAACACAAAATTATTCATGTAAGCCAATAACAATACCTACAAGCCCACTACAAGCCCAATTAAACAATTATAAGCCCATCTATATTCCGCACCGTTTACATAAATCGAACAAGAAAATAAAGAAACATCTCTTATTGGTGTTATCTTTGATGCTACAAAACGAGGATTGCTACATACTAAAAACATTCAAAATCAACAACCTTTCTTTACAAACCAGAAACATCTAATCTGTATTTTGGGACAATTTTTGTGTGTTTTCAAGTGTCCCATATCATAACAATGGCAATGACAACAACTCCAAACAACACAGCCAAAAACTTATAACTAGGCTCATCCACATGAACCTTCTTGTTTGGTCGATACCCTTTTGCCAACAAATGGTTCACCGAGACATACACAAATACCCCACAGGCCAAGCTCATCGACACTGCGAAAATCCAATCCGCGATCGATCCTTGAGTCGTTGCATCGATTACTATTCCAATCGCAACACCAATTGGGCTCGAGATGGCGAATGCGAAAGAATAAGTGATTGATGAGAACAAAGGACGGTCAGGGATCATACGGAGAAGAGCAATTCCCATTGCAATCGCTGCAAATATCTTGTGGAGTGTTATTGTCCATAGAGCTCTCCAAGCATCTGATTTAGTCTCTGAGATACCAATAGCTATGCCTTCGAAGACAGAGTGAAAACAGAGAGCTACGATCAATAGAATGCTATCTCCAATCGATGTTTCAGTTGTTGCTGACGTCTGATTCGATTTGTCTTCTCCTGAAATGAAAATAAAGCACCAAACTTTCAACACGAACGTTTCTAATTCTCGATTGGGATTCACAAGTCAGAAACTTTTGGTACCTTGAAGCTCCAAATCGTTTTGGGTCCTTAAGTAGATATGAGCGATGACAGAATCAGCAAGCATGGTTAACATAAAACCAGCACAAGCCAACATGTAAGCAAATGGGTAAGCCGGAGATAGTTCCGACTCTCCTTCCGCCGTCAACAAATCACGAAACGTCTCATCAGCATCAGACAAGAAATGCATCAAGGCGGTTGCAAGAAACACTCCTCCGGCGAATTGTGTTCCAAGAACCAAGAACCCTTGACTCCATTTCAAGAAATAAGGAGAGACGCCGCTGATAAACGTGAGGACAAAGATGATGACAAGACATGCGATCTTGACAGAGATTAAGGATTTAGATTTGAGATCGGAACTCTCAACGTGCGGAGCCTCATCGTCGTCGTGATCTCCTCCGGTTCCATGGGAGAGACAAGGGACGACCAAGACAAGAAAGAGGAAGAAGAAGAAGACAAGAGGACGAGACATTTTGAATGTTTAGTGGGTTTGTGTGTCTGTGATTCGAAGTTAAGAGATATGTCGTGTAATATATAAGTGGTGTTTAAGAGTTGTACTAAAAAAGTCATGGAGTTTTGTTTTGTACTACAATAAATTTATGGTTTTTGGTTGGTTGATTACTACACATTGAAAAGTAGTATTACAGGTGAAGGAACTTTTATAATTGGTTGTTAGACTTGGACCCTATTTTGTTCGAATTAACAAGAAAAATATGGTTTATTGCAAACTGAATCATCTAATTTTCATAGATGCGTTGATAGACCTAATTGTAGACCTGACATTGCACCTTAAGACACGCATTGAAGATGACAGATATTAGCGTACTAGAAAAGGTAAATTACTCTTTTTTTAACAATACATACTAATAGACGTTTCAACAAATCTCAAAGTGAAAAATCATAAATCATTTGTTAAACTTATTAGTAAAAAATAAATCAGAAAAAAATGTATTTGTTAGACAGCGAAAAATGAACCTTCCATATGATATTTTTCTTTTTAGTTCTCATAGAAAAATTTTCTATGTATAGCAGAGAGAAGAGAACAGGAAAATTGGGTAAACATAACAACTCTTTGATGAGAAAGACACCATTTTAATTCGAATTATACCTAAAAATCCATAGCGAAGAACGGTAGATCATGTTCCTATTTTATGGTGTGCAGCATCAATGGTGATATAATTGTCTCTCGCTATACATAAATATTAGATCCTTTAACGCCTCCAGAATCGGCCTTGTCCCTGTTGTTGTTGCTTTCGCCTGCATAGAGATATAACAGTCTTAGTGGGACACTACCAACAGATTTTGCATCGACACGATTGGGTAAAGAAAAAGCTCTGATTGACTCACTTTTGATACTCTATGGACCTGTCAATGAACTCTTTAGCAACATCTTTTCTCTCGAAAGAGGCCAGAACCGGTCTGATGTCCGTTGGACTGTTACGTGCAACATCTGAATAACCCAAACAGGAAAATCAACCAAACAACATCGATAAAGGCAGTTCAGGAGACTGGAATAGAACTTATCCCGCAGTTCACAGTACTTACATTCCAGGAAGGGTATCAGGTCAACTAGGGCCGTGTCATCAGCTTCTAGTTTGTAAGGCTTGATTGGCACGCTATTTTCTGGTTGAAGGGTTGATTCAAAGGCATTTGCGCTAACAAACAGAATCTTCCTTGGATCTCTGTTCAGCTTTGACAGATCCTGCAGCAGGAATTTTAATAGTTAGTTGAGAAATAGTTACTCTGGCAAGTGAGAAAGTACGCTTTGATGAGATAAGCTAGCTGCTTACATACCCTATAGTGCTTTCCATTTTCATATTTAGTAGCGCCTCTTCCTAGCCTATAACGTATGTAGTTATTTGGGTCTAATTTCTCGCAGACCGGAAGTACGTACTAGAAACAATGAAACAAGTGTTAGTAGACACATTACTATGATATTACAAGGAAAAAAAAATTAAAAAAAATTGGGACTTTACCATATCCATCTGGTCAGAATACACGACAATCTCATAGAATTTCCCAAGATGCTCCAAGAACGCATCGACACCTGGTCTTTTGAATGTCCTCCACCCTCTTTCTCGCTAAACATTTTTGTAAATGAAAAGTCAGAAAAAGTTAAATACAGCGTTACTTAAGAAAACAAATCAGTTCGCCAGGACTGCTTTGTTTCATAACATAGATACTATAGATACTCTGAGTCATCTATGATGCAAGTTTTTGATGATCAGTAAATCAATGACAGAGTTACCTTCCAGTCAGTGTAAAGCAGGGTCTCATTCAAATCAAGAACTAGAGTGAAGACATGCTGTTCTGAGGGGTGCAGATCCGGAAGTAGCTTTTCCGAGAGAGGTTCCGTGAAGCCCTATAAGGAACCGGACAGAAAATAAGAATAATCTACGGAAAAAAAAAGATGCAAGAAAAAGCAATGTTGTGTCTCTCGGTGAAAGGACGTACTTTCACTTGTTCCTCCACAATTTCCCTAAGCTCCAAATACTTATCAATGGCTTTAGCAGAACCTGATGATAATTCAAGCAAACCAATTGTATACTTAATTAAAGACAATAGTATTAGGTATGATGACAGAGGCGAATGGAAACTGTACCTGTCAACGCAGCAGAATACAACTTAGTTTGATATTTCTGCAGAGAGATGAGTATATAAAGTATTAATTCAGAGAAGCTTGCTTATAAACAATCCCTTAAAAGCAGAGAAACATGGCAGTACACGAGTTAAGTAGTATTTGAGATACACATTTGAAAGCCAGTGACTAAAGAAAGTCAACTAGTCAATACAGAAACAATGGTTATGATCAACATTAATTTGACATCGACTCAATGTTATCAAACAAAGCTTACTCACATCAATCACATCAATGCCAGAAGACTTAATAACTGGTGTCTTCTTAGCTGATTCTCGGAACGCCTTAGTCTTTTCATTCACTTCATCTATTGTGTAAGCTGCATAACGAAACAAACAAGTATAATCAGAGCTAAAAAGGAGTCAACACTACCAAGTGAAGAACACTGAATTCAAAAGGCGAATGCAATGCCACGACTAAGTAAGCAACAACACATTTTTTACTCGCATTCCCCAGCAAGATCAACTTTGCAAGGCCGATCGAAAATAGTAATCAAAGGAATTGAAGCACATACCATAACTTGCGTAACCAGTAGCAGCGGTAGCACCAGTGAGTGCCCAGAGGAGTGTGTAACCAAGATACTTAAGACCTTTTCGCTCCTTCCCCGTCGCTGCCGCGGCCGAAGCTTCCACCGGAGGAGGAGGAGGAGGTGGCGGCTGATTTGGCGGTGGAAAATCAGAAAACATCGACTGGGTAGAGGTGACTCCCGGATACCTAGATGAAGAATTGGAAGAAGATGCTTCCGCAGAGAAACATCTCAGATTACGAGATCTGAGCTTTGTTAATCTTGGCAACAGGCGAGATCGAAGAACAATAGACGCCATTTCCGATTTCGGCGTTTTCTCCAGAAAGCTCTCTGTCGCAGCAAGGGTTGAAGTAGGGTTTTGAATTGATCGGAGAAAAAAGGAAAATAAATAAACAAATTGGACTGTTTGGAAACAGGTTTTATGGCCTCCTTTTAAGTCTCTTATCCACTGTTTGTTAGTCGGTTTATTTCTACTCCGATATTTTTGTCCACGTCACCGATATTTTTGTATTTTTTACCTTTTTACTTGTTTACCAAGATTTTCATTTATAAAAAAAAATCCAAAATAACCAAACTTTATTAAATGTGTAGCGTTTCTTCTGCAGAACCCTCGACTACATGCCGTTTTTTTTCGTCAGACTCAAATAACAGAACAGAACTACATAGAGAGGAAAGTTCAAACAAATAGAAAAGCCACAAACTGGGCAACATCCGCAAATACATATAGCTTAAGGGCTCTTCTCACACAATGTAGCAAGACACTAGTGAGAGAGTAGCAAATGAACCACTTACTCTTCCTGGGACGGCAAAATTAGCTTCAACTTTAAGAAATCATTGGTCTTTGCAATCTCCACAATCTCCTCAGCTTCTTCTCTCTTGGACCCTTTCACCAATTCATCAACTAACTGCTGCAACGTTGTTTGACCCACAAGATACCGCTTACTGAATGTCTCCTTGAAGAGCTCAATCGCAAACTCAAAGTCACCTGCTTTACACATTGCAGGAAGCAATAAAGCAAAGGTAGCTTTATCAGGACGATAACCGTGCTTCACTATTTCTTTGTACCATGATTCAGCTTCGTCCATTTTTCCTTGGTTGATAGATCCTCTAATCATAGCATTGAAGCTGAAAACATCAGGTTTGATCCCACTAGCTTTCAGTTCTTCAAAGAGACTTACTAGCTCTTTTGATTTCACCTCGCTGGCTAATCCAAGCAACCGAGCATTATAAGTCCTGATGTCTATCGGTACATTCTTCTCCACCAATTTAGCCCATATCTCTTCCCCTAGCTCAAACTGTCCCTTCAAATACGACGACAGTAAAAGTGTGTTGAATGTGACTATATCAGGTTTCAAACCTTTGTTCTCAAACTCATCAAGTAATGCAACAGCTTCAGGTAAAGAATCCTTCTCACACAATGCCTTGATCAAAGTATTGTAAGATACAATATCTGGTTTGATTGATAACTTCCCCGGTAACTCATTGAAAAGTTGTTCAACCACATCGAATTTCTTGGAAAGCCCATATGCACTAAGCAAGGCATTGAAGGACAAGACTGACCTTTTGCAGTTTCTATCAGGCATTTCGTCGAACACCTTCTGGGCATTTTCAAACATGCCGGCTTTTCCATACAGAGAAATGATCCTCGCCGCGAATCCCTCTTTTGACATGTCGCGGTACTTCTTCTGCTCCTCCAAAATCTCTTCGACAAAGTGTAATCTCTTTGCTGCGACGAGACGGCGCACGGTTCTATCGTAAACGGCTATGTTATTCCGGAACCGCTCCGACTCACATGCCTTCTTGAACTTCTCAACGATCCTTTGTGGGTTTCGTTCGCCATTTACGATACTGGTAAGTGAATTTTGAGGTGGCGAGATTGCGGCACTGACTGCCGTCGTTACGGTGGCGGCGGAGGAAAAACGGCGGATCGTGGAAATGTTGAAGGTGCCACGGAGAACGCGAGATAGAGACGACATCGTTTTGGGACTGAGAGCAAAGGGTTTCACATTTCAGGAGACGGGTTTTAAGAACAAATCAAAAGAGGATGCAATTGAAAATTTAAAAAGATTAGTGCCGTATCTTTAATTAAAGGAAATATTGGGGAGTAGAATTAAAATAATAGAAAGATTGTTGTTTTGCCGACGACCTAAATTTACGGAGAAGACGAGCTTAGCTTCAATGGCGCCTGTTAATATGACTGGCGCTGTTGTTGCAGCGGCGGCGTTGCTGATGCTTTCTTCTTACAGTTTCTTCCGTCTCGCCGAGAAGAAGAAGAAGAGGAAGGACAAGTTGAGTATGAGAAACGGGCTTGTTGATGCCATTGGCAATACTCCTCTGATTCGTATCAATAGCCTCTCTGAGGCTACTGGATGTGAGGTTTTTCTCGATGTTCTTTTCTATTTTCGGTTTGATCTGATTGTGTAACTTATGAGTTTAAAGATGTAATTTTTATTCTATTTGTTTCGTCTGGTGTTCAGATTCTTGGGAAATGCGAGTTTTTGAATCCAGGAGGTAGTGTTAAAGATAGAGTTGCTTTGAAGATCATTCAAGAGGTATACGACTAGCTCGAAATTTTCCATATTCTCTCCTGAAACATAGTAAAGGTTTCAATTTTAAGTTCTTAGATTGTGTCCTGCTCTCAGCTAATTAGTTAGAAAGCCAGGTTTGCGGTTAATTGAGAAGCAAGTCCAAGAGCCCTAATTTTCTTTTTGTTTCTTTGTTTAGGCTTTGGAATCTGGTAAGCTATTCCCGGGAGGAATTGTAACTGAGGGTAGTGCAGGAAGTACCGCCATTAGCCTTGCTACAGTTGCTCCGGCATACGGGTGTAAATGTCATGTTGTTTTACCTGATGATGCTGCTATTGAAAAGGTTATATCTTTTAAATATGTTGAATTGTTGATGATGATACACATTCTCTTGTATGCGTTATACATATGCTCAAATTTGTATGGTGTTGGACTTATTTTAGTCTCAAATAATTGAAGCCCTTGGAGCTACTGTTGAGAGGGTGAGGCCAGTGTCAATAACTCACAAGGATCACTATGTCAACATTGCGAGGCGACGTGCTGACGAAGCAAACGAGTTAGCATCAAAGAGAAGACTAGGGAGCGAAACAAATGGCATACACCAGGAGAAAACTAATGGCTGCACGGTTGAGGAAGAGAAAGAGTGTTTCTTATTCTCAGATTCAGTTACCGGTGGCTTCTTTGCAGATCAATTTGAAAACTTAGCTAATTATAGGGCTCATTATGAAGGTACTGGCCCTGAAATCTGGCACCAGACTCAGGGTAACATTGATGCCTTTGTTGCTGCTGCGGGGACAGGCGGTACTTTAGCTGGCGTTTCAAGGTTTCTTCAGGTAGGCTTAATCAGGCCTTAGACTAATCACAAATGTATGAATGAGTAATTCGTGTATGTTATAAGCAAAAAAAGAGCTCATACATTTCTTGTGTGTTTTAAACAGGATAAGAACGAAAGAGTTAAATGCTTTCTGATCGATCCTCCTGGATCTGGTCTGTACAATAAAGTAACACGGGGAGTGATGTACACAAGAGAAGAAGCTGAAGGGCGCCGACTAAAGAACCCATTTGATACAATAACAGAAGGGATCGGAATCAACAGGCTTACTAAAAACTTCCTGATGGCAAAACTTGACGGTGGTTTTCGTGGCACTGACAAAGAAGCGGTGGAGATGTCGAGGTAGTGCTCATTCTTTATATGTTTTAGAGAGTAGTGATAAAGATTTCGTAAAAGTTGCGGTTTTGATATCTTTCTTAATTTTTGTTCCCAGGTTTCTTCTGAAAAATGATGGGCTCTTTGTTGGAAGCTCCTCGGCTATGAACTGTGTTGGAGCAGTGAGGGTGGCTCAAACCCTTGGTCCTGGTCACACAATTGTCACCATTCTTTGTGATAGCGGAATGCGACATCTAAGTAAGTTTCACGACCCTAAGTACTTGGATCGATACGGGTTGAGTCCAACCGCTATCGGGTTAGAGTTCCTCGGCATAAAGTGAAACTACCTATCTGTTACAATAGCTTCAGATCAATCAAGCCTGGATCTGCACTCTGCAGCGGTTTTGTTAGAATTTGTTGATTTTTTTTTAGATTAGGGGGATTTATTCTTTGTAAGACTCCAGATTAGAAGACAACAACTATGTCTAGAGTCAACGGAAGAAAGTCAAAGCAACAATGCATGTGTCTGACCTCTGAAACTCCCATAACTGCATCTTACACCTGTCTTCTCAATTGTCTACAAGTTCCGACCTAATGGGGTCCCTTACAAAGATTATGGGAAACATGTAATCAGATTTTGTTTTTGTACCTATTAGATCTTGTCTGTGTTCAATGCATTCGACTGGAAAACTCAAAAGTCTTGATAAACATATATATATCCAAATCATTCAATATACAATTAACAGAATTAAGTCTTGATGATCCCAATAATGGCAAGGAATGGAGTCAATTGCGTCATCTACGGAAGACCTTCGTCGTTGTACCGAAGCGATGAGAATGATCCTTTGGTGGACGATAAGCGGTCGGCTTTCTTACAACCTACGTACTTGCAATGTTTTGCCAATGGTATCCCTCCATGCTTTACAAACTCTAAGCCTTTCGCTATAGAGTGTGTATAACAATAATGCCCTTTTCTTGAGTGGTTTGCCATTAATCCCTTTGATTGGTCAGCATAATCTACCAGATACTGAGCAGAATAATCAGTGTATGTTGCATCATATTTTAAAATGAATCTTAGTGCACTAATCAACCACTATAGCCCAGCAAGTATCTGCCAAAAAAAATATTGAAAGTGATGAGAAAACTTTCAGTCAAATATTCAAGATAACAAAATAGAAACATTGGTTTAGTAAAGAGATGTCACTATGAGGTCCTTGGTCTCTTATCCAGCCCATGTATTTTTTCCAGTTAGTGCCCTTCACAGAGTCTGACACGACCTAAAACCAAATAAAACATTACGACTATTAGTAACCCAAATATTTAATTTGTACACAACTATTGATTATTTTAGAACAGTATATATATATATATAATACTACCGTGTGGTTTTTCCACCAAGCTAGCATATGAAGTCTTTCCACCATCGACGATTTCGATCTGAGCATCATCAGGTTTGGACGATATGATCGTACCCAGGAATGTACGCAAAGAAATCATAAACTTCTGTAGGTATGCTGAACTTGCAGTACACACATATATAAGTATTTCTGTTAGTAGTAAACATTGCTAAACATAGTGTATGTAGTTATGTTGTCACTTACCCTAATGGTAGGTGGACCTTGGTCGCTCATCTTTGTTCAGACAGAGTGCCTGCCAGAGTTTAAAAAGAAATATAACAGATTAGAAAGAAACTTTGAGGTTGAAGTTTTAAGAGGCTACTGCAACAACAACTATTGACAGACTTTATAATGCAATTGTTCTCTTTCCTTTCAGATTTAGATTTCAAAGAAACAATCAAGCTCTACACTCACTAAACTTAGCCTCAAGCTATTTCTTTTCAAGTCCAAACCCACTTTGCTTCGTGAAATTTTTTAAATTGTGGTGACATGTTATCTCAGTCTCAAAGTGGACTCGAGCTTCTGCTAGTGACATCCCAAAATGGTTTCCCCTTTAATCTCCTCTCTAGCCACACTTATCATTTTGAGTTTGTGCTAGTGAACGTTGAATAGCTGAACAATTAAGCATTGGTCCAATAAGAGAATTCAATGAGCCGCCATTTATCTGATATTCTAAAATAATTAACTAATCAGTGCTCATGTAACAAAACGAAAACCAACTTCTAAGAAAAATTGTAGATCAAAAAGGTCCAACCAGGAGACGTATTAAAAAGAGAGTTCACTACAAGTTTATTGAAGAGAGGAGATAACGAGCTCAACAAGTCTTAAAAATGGAAGCTTGAAACAGAGAGAAATGCTAGACAAGTAGGACGAGAGTGTTGAGATGAAATGCAACATAACCTCTTAATATATCTATTCAAGATGCAAACTTTTATGTCTCCCTGAGTTTCATTTCACAAAAAACACTCGTCTCTCTCTTTGATTATGAAAAATATGAACTTTTTCTGATAATTATTATTATTTTTTTTTTGTGTTAAAAATCGAGACTAAATCGAGATTGGAATGGTTCTGATTTTTTTGTGTTAATTCGTTTTTCTGTAGAAGTTTGGATTTTTTTGTGCAAATATCAAAATCCCGGCCGTCGTTATCCTTGCAATTATTATTTTTAATTAAAGATTTATATATCTGTTTTTTTTCATGTTTTAATAAGTACTAAATGAGTTGGCCAAATTTAATTGGTCACAAAAGTTGTAAGCCTAATCCCAATTGAACAACCACTATTTATATATAATAAACACAAACTTCTACCATCATTCAAACACTTCTTTTTTTTTTTTTTTTTTTTTTTTTTTTGAACACCATCATTCAAAAACTTAAAAGCCTTAAATTGGTCTCAAACGATATGTCTATGGCCATAAAAATTTCCACCCTTTTCCTCCTCTTCCTTTTGGTTGAATCATGCACCGCAAGATACATACCAGCAGATCTACATGAGGTCTGTTGAGATAAGTTTGAAGAAAGCTTGAGAAATAAGCTAAAGATAAATATGTAATATTCTAGGAGTTATCTAGAATAAATGAAATTATCCAATTCCTAAGTGTGTTAGGAAAAGGAAAAGGGTTTTGCTATATATATGAGATGCCTAGGTTGTGGTATTCCATAAGAGAGATTAAGAGATTTGTAAGACCTTTAGTTTTGAGTAAGTTTCTAAAGGAATAAGAGAGAAGTCTTTTTAATCTTGTGTTCTTAACCTAGTTCTTAATTCAATAATTGGTATCAGAGCATAAACTTTTGAATTAAGCTTTCTAGTGTTGATAACATCGTCAAAGTTTTGAAACTTAAACCCTACGCATACACCAAGAGAGGTGACATACGTAGTGAAACAGAATCATGGGAGAGGTGGTTCCCGTGAAGCCGAAGGATGGTGGTTCTTCCTCATCAATTAAATGCCCCATGCTCAATGACACGAACTATACAGTTTGGGTCATGCGTATGCGAGCAACACTCAAGGTGCATAAAGTGTGGGAGACCATTGATCCGGGATCTACTGATGAAGAGAAACATGACATAGCTAGGGCTTTGTTATTCCAATCCATACCAGAAGTACTTATCCTGCAAGTTGGCGACTTAGGAGATGCAAAGCAAGTTTGGGATTCTATCAAATCAAGACATGTAGGGGCTGAGAGAGTCAAGGAAGCAAGGTTACAAACCTTGATGGCTGAATTCGAAAGGATAAAGATGAAAGACACTGACACAATTGATGCTTTCTCTGGTAAACTCTCGGAGATAGTCACAAAATCTGCAGCGTTGGGAGTAAACATCGAAACTCCAAAACTCGTGAAGAAGTTTCTTAACAGTTTACCAAGAAAAAGATTTATTCACATCATCGCAGCCTTGGAGCAAGTCCTGGATCTTAATAAAACTAGCTTTGAGGATATTGTAGGAAGGATGAAAACATATGAAGATAGAACTTGTGATGAAGAAGAAAATCAACAAGAAGATCAAGGGAAACTCATGTTTGTTAACTCGGATTCACAACCCTATCATGGAAGCTTTAACTCAGGAAGAGGACGTGGTAGAGGAGGACGTTTCTTTCAAGGAGGAAGGGGACGTGGCCGCTACGGAAACTATCAAAATGGAGGAGGAAGAGATCAAACAAAAGTGATCTGCTACAGATGTGATAAGACTGGACATTTTGCATCAAATTGTCCGGATAGGCTGCTCAAACTTCAAGAAGCTTATGAGAATGAAGGTGATGATACACAAGAAGGTGAAAAGCTAATGGTGAACGAAGTAGTGTATCTCAATGAGCAGAACATCAAGACAAGTGTTTTTGAGGCCCAATCTGATGGATTTAACGTATGGTACTTAGACAATGGAGCAAGTAACCATATGTCAGGGAATCGAGAGTATTTTTCTAAGATTGATGAGACAATTACGGGAAAAGTGAGATTTGGTGATGATTCTAGAATAGATATAAAAGGAAAAGGCTCGATTCTATTTGTAAGCAGAGATGGAGAACGCAAGGTATTGGCGGATGTATACTTTATACCAGATCTGCGAAGCAATATCATCAGCCTAGGACAGGTCACAGAAGCAGGCTGCGAAGTCAAGATGAAAGGAGAGAGTCTAGTGGTGAATGATAAAGACGGGAAGCTTTTGGTAAAAGCAAGTCGATCAAAGAATCGGTTATACAAGGTGCTCATGGAAGTAGAAGCCACACGATGTCTCCAGATAACGGCGTTAAATGACTCAGCTAAATGGCATGCGAGACTTGGCCATGTTGGCCTTGAAACCATGAAATCAATGGTGAAGAAGGAGCTAGTCACCGGAATGCCAAGCTTCTCTGTTGAAAAGGAAACATGTGCATCGTGTCTGCTTGGAAAACAAACAAGGAGAACGTTTCCTCAAGCTACCTCTTATCGTGCTACTAATACACTGGAGCTAGTTCACGGTGATCTTTGTGGACCAATTACACCCACCACAACTGCCCAAAACAGATACATATTCGTGTTAATCGACGACTACTCCAGGTATATGTGGACATTACTTTTAAAGGAGAAGAGTGATGCATTTGAAAGATTCAAGAGATTCAAGGCCTTGGTAGAACAAGAAACTGGGAACTCTATCAAAACTTTTCGAACTGACAGGGGAGGAGAATTCACATCTCATGAGTTTCAAAAGTTTTGTGATGACACAAGTATAAAAAGGCACTTGACTGCACCATATTCACCGCAACAAAATGGAGTAGTAGAGAGACGTAACAGAACGTTGATGGAGATGACAAGAAGTATCTTAAAACACATGTCTATACCAAACTATCTATGGGGAGAAGCTGTGAGACATGCCACTTACCTTATAAATCGAATTGCGACAAGAACTTTGGTTAATCAAACACCATATGAGGTCTTTAAGGGAAAAAAGCCAAACGTGGAGCACCTGCGAATTTTTGGATGTATCGGCTACGCAAAATCAGAAGCTGCAAATCTGAAGAAATTGGATGACAGAACACGAATGTTAGTCCACCTGGGAACTGAACCAGGTTCAAAAGCGTACCGGCTACTTGATCCATCAACCCGCAAAGTTGTAGTAAAGCAGGGACGTAGTGTTCGATGAAACCAGAAGTTGGAAGTGGGTAAACAAGGTAGTGAAACAGGTAGTGAAATTGGTAGTGATCCGAGTATGTTGAGATTAACTTCGGAGATTTTGGAATAAAATGGAGGTGAGAACGCA